GGAGGCGGGAGGGGCCGCGCGGACAGGGACAGGCCGGGGCGCGGGGGCGACTCCCCTCGGGGCCCCCAGGCCCAGCGCTCACAGGGAAGCAGTGCTTGTGCTCAACGCAGACACAGGCACGGAGGAGCCAAACAAAGCCCCGCATCTGCCCACCTCAGAGGCCGGTTCCCTGTGCGCGCCATTGTTCCGCACTTACTGTGTTTTAAGAAAAGTCTGTGTGAGCCACCGAAATCCCACTGCCGCCACCCGCCCTGCACCCTAAGGTGGAGGCCGCACTCGAGAACGGCCAGCTTGGAGCAGAACTCCAGGTGTGGGCAAACCAGAGGCCGCCCCCAGCCCTCCGTCTCTGTTCAAAAAGGGGTTTCCAGTAGCGCCGGGGAAGGGCGCCCTCTGCTCCGGCTGCCACCCAGTTACTGAGTGCTGGGGAGGACCCAAGCTCCCGCCGCCAGAAGGGGCTGCCCCTTCTGCCCTGCCTGCCGGCCTGGGGGCTCCCCTCACGCAGCTGCTGGGTTCCGTCCTTTTCTCTTTTCAAAACCTGTTGGGGAGAGGTGAAGTTGGCCCTCTCTGGGCAGCCCCACCCTCCTGTGCCAGAGCCCTGCTCAGGCTGGGCACTGGGGGGGCTGCCCCTCAGTCTGCTCCAGGAACTCCCCTCCACAGCGCTGGTCTCCTGGGGAGGGGGTGCGTAGGGACCCCTCAGGTAGGGAGGCTGGGGTCCCAGTCGGGGTTGGGGGGTTGAAGTGGGAGCTTGCCTGCAGGGAGGGGGAGGGGGACCGGGCTGTGCTTTCCCTGTCTGTCCAGACGTCCCCTGGGGAGGCCGCCAGTCCCCAGGCCACTTCCCAGTTTCTGTGGCTCTGTGGCCAGTCAGCCCTGCCACTCCGCCACTCCGGGGCCCACATTCTCCGTGCCCCCACCTGCCCAGGAAGCCTCTGCGAGGGGTGGGCCAGCTCAGGCTGGACTTCCAGAGGTCCTGCGGAAGGGCCCGCTGGGCGGGGGGCTCGGCCCCACGGAAGCTGCTAGCTCCCAGGCCTGCTGGCTGCGGGCAAGCTCCTTCAAGGAGCTTCAGTGCCCCCCCATTTCACAGGGAACTCCAGCAGCTGCT